TAACACTTTTCAATGTCAAGAAATCGTCCTTTGTCATTATGCATAGGGCAAATTGTGCTTCAACCTAATTGGTACAGAAAACAGTATTCAGCAACTTAGCCTGAAATCGGATTTTGATTTAAACATGTAGAAATTTGTAAAGTAAAAATAACATGTAGGCTTTATTGGCTATCTAACAAGTTGGCTAGAGATTTTCATTCATTAACGGCCTTAGAAATTATGACAGGCTTGTTCTTGCAAGGACTAAACAGGTATATATTCCTAATAATTTAACTTGGAACTTGGTATTCGTCTTAAATCATAGCATAGCCTAGGAATAGTCCTATACAAGAGCTGTTAGCAGGAGTAAACAATGCTATTTTTTTCAATCTAAGTTTCATGTTATATGGAGACTTTTTCGTTACAATTATCATGTAGTCTAGGCATATCTTAAATCTCTTTAGGTAATTTCCTCTTTGTTAATTTAGTAAACCTTTGAAAAATCTTCGTAATCTAACCAAGGAAGGGCTTGTGATGTGATGATGAACCACAATCAACAGCTGAAGCTAGACCAGTTGTCTCATTATTTTAAGGTTTAGTGTTGGTTTCCATTAAAACCCAAGTTGAAACACTATCAATTTAATAAAGAAACTAAATTGATTACTAATTTCCCTGTCAATCACTTGCAAGCATTCAATAGCTTTCTCTTGTCACTGGTAACGTTTAAACGTCGTCTGCAACTAGCGATTTTATTTTATCTGACAGTAAGTAGTAAATTAAGGAAATGAGAGCCAAAAATGTGGATAACACCCATTTAATGGCCTCCATGTCCACACAACGTTGTAATAGGGAATGAAACGGCTGCAACCAGCTGTATGAAGCCAAGAAAGTAGGCCTAATTTTTTTTGAAAATCTCAGTTTGAAAGCGGTTGTTTCACGTAAGGTTGAGGTTATGATAAAAATCACTATCTCAAACAATGTTAATGTAGCGAGAAAAGTAGCTAAAATTCCGCTACAACTACTTTAAAAATGTAGCTAGCTACTGCTAAAGCTACAAAATCTTAAAAGTAGCGTAGCTACAGCTAACGCTACAAAAAAAGTAGCGCGCTACTGTAGCGTCGCTACTTGTAGCGCGCTACTTCCCAACACTGGTTATTACACACCTAAAAAAGTACTTTGCAACTCATGGTATTCCAGATGAACTAAGAACTGATGGAGGACCATGTTTTGCTTCTATGGAATTTAATAAATTCGTATCCGAATGGAAATTTAGTCATAGAATTTCATCTCCTCATTTTCCAAGATCCAACGGGCTAGCGGAGAGTTATGTCCAAGAAGGAAAAAAACTTGATTGTCAAGTGTCAAGAAGAACAGTCCGATATTTATCTTGCACTTCTTCATCACCGTAACACACCAAGAGGTAACCTAGGTTCCCCAGTTCAGCGGCTGATGAGTAGAAGGACAAAGACTCTACTTCCATCTACGACCAACCACCTTATTCCGATGGTCATAAAGAATGTTTCAAAACAGCTAGAAAATTTTAAAAGAAGAAAGAAGCTATACGGTGATATGGAGGAAGACAGAGCCTGATCAGTTTCAACTCGATGAACCAGTGCTTTTCAGATTCAAACCAAAGTGTTGGCTGAGAGCAAAGATTGTTCAAGTTGGTCCTGAACCTCGATCGTACAAAATCCAGACTGGTGATGGACGAGAATACCGAAGAAACTCATGGTTCCTAAGAAGAGACAAGTCATTCAGAATCTCCCATAATGTGAATAAAGGTCAATCGTCCAGGTCAGAATTATTTACAATGACTCAGCTCCTGTTGTAAGACGAGGGGAAAGGATTTGAAGAAAACCAAATAATTTTGACTTGTGAAGGAGGGATGACAGTAGTATTTAATATGGTAATTGTTCAACATATGTTTTGTGTTATTGTTTGATATTTTTTGATTGAGTTTTTGTTAAAATAGAAATACACAACCTTTCATGATCTCAGTATAATTATTTAATAATTAATTTAATGACAGACAATATATTTGAAAATTTCTTTAATATATACAATATTACAGTACAACAGTATAAAACATTAAAACACTGCACGCTAAATGTATAGACGACAGCCCGGCGGCGCAGCGGGCGTGGCGCGGAGCAGCGGCAATGGATCCCTTTTGTACCTTAGAAAACCGAACATGATAAAAATTTTTGGTGAATCGGATAGTTAAATTTGGCTATTTATCCACAAATTCCCGCTGACGAAATTTCTCTGACCAAAAAATAAAAATTTCCTCGCAATACAACTTTTTTATGTCTGAATCTGAAAAATTAAACTACATAAGTATTAAACATATTTATAACTAAAACTAATAATTTTATATTAACACCATCGTTTTCCTCATATCTACAAGTGTGCAAAATTTCAGAATTTTTTGTCAACTGTTAATGTTTTTAATGATCGTGTATTTGTCGCGGGGTTTTTAATGCGAACTGAGCTCGCGGGTCTTGGATTCAGGCTGTATGACGGACCAAGATGGCGGATTTGGCCACACTTTCAGTGCATTTGGTTAAACGCCGTGTCCTCTCTATTATTATCTATCTATCTATATATTAATAGGCAAGCATGTTTCTTTAAAACCTTTTTTCTCAGCTCGTGTGAATCGTAGGGAAAATCTACGCATACCGTTAGAAAGATATTTTCCTGTAGGTGTGCAGAATCCCTTTATAAATTAAAATAGGCTCAAAGATAAGCACAAAAAATTAGTTTAAAATTTTGAAAAAATTAACATGGATTTTATGGGTTGCTATGCTGGTTACGAAATAACAACGGAATATAAACAGAAAATCAAAACAAATGGAAGAAACTCAAATCACATGTTTTATTTACAGTGTGGGGAGAAAATAGAGAAGTCTGTACATTACATATTTTTGGTCGAGTTTCGACCACTGGACGACCACTAGTTATTATTATTATGTGCTCGCTGATTTATTTACTATTTGAGTTTGTGTAAACATAACCCCCAAGACGGATCATGTTAGTATGGTTGTATCTTAAATTTGTGTATTTATCGCTGTTTTGTGTCGCTATGACAGATCGTGTTATGTTTGTAACTTAAATTTGTGAATTTATCGTTGTTTTGTGTAGCTATAATTTGTTTATTTGTTGTTTTTTCTTTTAAATGCCTCCGACGCTACTACAACGAAACATAGACAGGAGGCGTAATCGTGATAATGACCGCAACTACAGAACAGTGACACGTAATAGGCTCAACTATTAGGTTAAAAATGCGCCCTAACACTACCCCAAAACAACTTTTCGTTCTCAATTGGCCCTCTATCAATGACCTGTGTTGCCTGTACAGCGAGGCATTTTGAGAAGCCGGCCGGAATGCTTTAGGTTTATCAATAACGAAGATAAACATGGTCTGAGTTACACACCGGTAATCTTTGAGTTGACTCTTTTAAATTCATTGTAAATATGACTGTTATTCGTTTTGAAATAACTTCTGTAATACTTTGCAATTGCTCGAATTCGAGCAACATGTACACTAGTTGAAAATTAATTATATAATACATTTGAGGTGCATGATTATTACTAAGCAACGGGGTAATTACAACTGTTCAAAAACGTATAGTCTTTGACCATAAAACATTATAGGCTACACTAATATTGAACTAAAAGTCTCGAGGAAAAACCAACGTTTTGTAGTTAATGGCGATGCGCTATCTGAATGGGTGTGTTTTCCACGATCCCATCATTAATTGCGACGTTCCGCGATCCCAGCGGATCCCAGTGACTAACACAACAATAATGGCCAACAGAGGCTTTGCATCCATGCGTTTTTTAATTGAAGTTTATTGTATAAATGTTCCAAATAGATTGCTCGTCCATAAGAAAAAGCTTGTTAGGTAAATTATAATAATGAAGTAATGTCCGAAGACGAATTGACTTTATTTACAACTTAATTAATCGAAGAAAAACTGAAAATGAAGATGATTTACAGGTAAAATTAAAAAGTTATACGTTATATAATGTTAACAAGAGTTCCAAATTAATTTTTTTTCGAAACATGTTTGTTTTATTAAGAATAATTAATTCTAAACGTGGTTTAGTATAAATACCCCCGCAGCAGCAAACCTGCAGAGTAAGCGAATTTCCATTTGCCTGATTGGATTTACAATTAAATATCTCCTTAAAAATATAAAATTATTCCCTATCTAAATAGCATTAGTTTAACGAGTACTAAGGTTTGCTGCAGGGAGGGTAAAAAGTGTTTTTTTTTGTGAAATGTTAATAGTTGTGTAAGAAATAAATGTTTTTTTCAATTTTGATCAAAATATGTCCATAAACAGTCAAACTACAACAGTTTATTTATTCTTCATATAAATAATTAACATGGGAATTTAAAAATATATATTTTTTTTATTTTCTCTGTAACAATTAGGCGCACGATGACACTTCAACATACTAAATTATTCACGTTTTAAGCTCTACAAAATGGTTTTTAAAGAAATTGATAATTTTTTAGTTTTTAGGGTCAAAAGTGAGAAAATCCCATTTTTAACCCATAAAACCCCCCATAAACCCCGGTTCACATATTCCGATCATGCTAATTCGCGAATTCGTTCGAATAAAAATGTAGGTTTACACGTTTATACAAAATTTTATCAAAATCGGATAATTTTTGCTCGAGTTATCGTGCTAACGGACACACACATAACACACCCACACACACACACACACACACACACGCTCAGAAACACACGCATACATCACTTCGAAACCCCCGTTTTGGGTTTAGGGGGATCCAAAACGGATATATCCACTCGAAACTCAAACTCGAAAATTTTGACGAAAACAATACTTCCTCCATATAGGTACTATGTATAAGAGGAGAAATTAATAGTTGCTGCAATCACAAAAATATACCCCAAAGTGAAACCAAATTACAAATGTATCTAAACATGATTGTTTATTCAGAGTATGTTTATTTTAGAGGGTATTAAGTTTATTGTTTCACTTACCAGCGCACCAAGACACTCCACGGTACTCTATGATGGTACCGAGGGCGTACTCCTCCAGAGCCCCGTTGCCGGCGACTAGGCTGTCACCCAAGGCGCCGACCACGTCGATGTCTCCGGGTCGCAGGTGGTGGACACTGGAGGGCCTCTCCGGGGATCGCACCCGCGTCCACGGCGGACAAGGGAACTCCAAGTCTGGAGGCAACACGGGCTGACGACGTACACCGTCTCCCGCGGACTGGTACAACGCCACGAAACTAGAGTTGTTCTGTAAAAGGTCCATGCTGACTATACATTGTCAATGGGTATTTGGCCAGGTATCTAAACAATAGACCAAACTCATTTAACAATCACTACATAGGTAGAATTTCTCTTTCTTTCCTTAATTGTACACGTACATATATTCTTGTACTTGTAGCTTATATGTACTTATAAGTACAATATACATTATATGTACAATTACCGCCATCCGCCACTGATTTTGGTTTATAGCTACGCCTACAAATGGAAGAACCTAACTGTTAATGTGTCTTCCGCTACCTATCTTTGTTTTTTACAAAACCTTAGGCCATTAAGACCCGTATGGCCTTATAAACTACTGATAAATTGTCTTTTTGCGAAATTTCCATATAAGGAATAAGCTAACCCGTAGGTCTCATGGTAAGACCTGGAGCCGGGACCGATTTACTTTTTCGTTTTGAGGTCCCCAGAGGCCAAAAACACCATTCGTTCGAATTCATATATATTTACTAGCTGTTGTACCCGTGCTTTGGGAAGAGGATACAAAATAGAAACATTTTAATCTTTACATCTGTTGCATATAATAGTTACACATCCGCCAACGCTTTTAGAAACAAAATTCAACTTTTATGGCCTTAATAGAAACGTTGAAATTATAACTTTTAAATCTGGTAAGTAGTGGATACCACCATTTTGGTTTTGATTAATTTTAAATCTTGTGTAGGCTGATATGAGAAAAACTTACCAAATCTTCGAATAAAACTTTAACATACATGATTTACCTTCATCTCTCTTAATTACATATATTTTTTCTTTATTTTTGACATTTTAAATTTAATTTTTGAAGTTTCAAAAATATTAATTCTTGAATTTAAATGAAAATTTTTTTAAATTTCACTCTTCTTCATATTAAATCACAAATACTCCCATCTTCAGTTTCTTCACTCACAATAAATCATTAGCAAAACAAAGTCAGATGTTATAAACTTTAGAAATATTAATGAAATCTATATAAATAAAATTACAGTTTTGTCTGTACATTGCTTAGAATCATGCAGTTTTTGGTTATTTTTACATTTCATAGCCTAAGAAAGCCGAAACGAGTCTTTTTTTCAATTTCTGTCTGTCTGTCTGTTTGTCTGTCTGTTTGCCCATTCTGTCATTCCGTTCGTGACGCCAAAATGGCATTTTACGCGGCCTACTCCTAGAAAACTAGACTACCGATCAAGGTTCTAATAATTTTTCTGTATTTACTGGATTGGTGAGAGTGTCTTTGGCTATGAAAACATGACTTCGCTTCTTTGAAAACAAAATAACGAACCATCAAAAATCCAATTTTGTTCGATTTTTGTCAAATTTTCTCTCAATGTTTACTATTACATTTGATGAAATAACGATCAACTGTTAGTTCCATAGTGCCATTAGTTCTCACTTCTAGCTGTCACTGATTCTAGCTGACATTAAAAGTTGTTTACAAATACCGCAACCATTTCCGATCAAGTTATGTTAGCACATCCAAACCAAGTGAGATTAAAAACGTTGTGCCTTACTTAACCGGTATAATTAATCGGAAGTGCAACGATTATTCTTGAATTTTGATAACCAGGGAAAATACCATGAATCAGTGTTGTATTAGTGCTGGGAAACTTACATTTTATTAATCATCGTCACCAATAGCATACAAAAAAGGTTTCCACTCATTGACGGCGCTTCAAGGACAGTTGTGTAAAGGGCAAAATAAAAAATCACAACTGCAGTGGGTGATCGTGGAAGATCTTTCTGATTTCGCTGTGATCGTAACAGAAGTTTAACTTACAGATGTATGTAGCTAAACTCGCTTTTCCAATGTGTCACTTTTGGTTTCTACTTACTTACATTTCGACAACGATATCGGTACTTTTCCTACTTAGGAAGTAAAACTACAAACGTCCAAACCCCCAGATTTGAGCGGTTTTTGTCACATTTCCTCCGAATGTTTGCTAGATATATGTACCGATTATCGTTTGAGATTTCGTAATATTTTAAATAAAAACCTTTGTTTGGATAAATGTGGTTTCTTCAAACTGTCATTAATATGTTAACATTAAAAGTTGCTTACAAAAAATGCTATTAATGGGAAATAACTTTGATTTTCGAAAACTAAAAAGAAATTCAAAACCAAGGGAGATTAATAACTTCGGTACTGCACCACACCAAGTGAAAGTTTTTTTTTAGCAAACCATGGTGAGTTTTACGTTACATGTTACTTGTTTTGTGGCTTGTGTATTTATTTATTTATATATTTGCCAACGGATTAACACCTATAATACAGTTTGATAAGAAGGAAAGTTTGAATTGGTCGTAAGTACTATAGTTCTTTTCTTAAATGTAAACGTTGGTTCTTGGTACTGCTACTTTTCCTTAGAACCGGTGGTAGCAGTAAGAATCATTTTTACGTACAAACACATCAGTATTTACAACTATAGTTATCGTTAGTGCTGCACGTTATTTCTTAGTAATTTAATTGATTTCTTGCTGTATAATTTTTGTGTTTTCTGTCTAGACTCCAAAATGTTAGTTTATGCTATGAAAATGATAAACATTGGTGAAAGATTTTTTAGCAAACCATAATGAATTTTTAAAGCTTGGCGTTGTTAACGTAGGTACAAACTTTTGGTGGACTGTGTATTTATTTACTTATTAATATATTTGCCAACGGATTTACACCAATTTTATAGTTTGATTAGGCCTAAAATATCATAAAATTTGATGACACTAGGCCTATCAAAACTTTCAAATAATTATTTTGTTTCTAATTTGCTTTGGTTAAAGCGTAGCAAATCCCCTTATTCAATTCTGTATTTGTGTGTGTATGTCTGTTGGTAACGCATTAATGTACTTATTTCTCAGTGTTTCGTGGAAAAGACAAGAGCACCTTTGTTAATGAAAATTTCAACCCGAATAAAGTTTGCAGTAGTGAAGTTGAGGTAGTATTTTAACTACTTTTAACCAGTGTGAAAAGTAACATTCAATTACAGGCCTACCTTAGGGCTATGCCTCATAGATCTATAAAGCAATTCCTTTTATCATTAGATATAAAATATCGACTAACACGATCGGGTGACATTTAATTGCGAAGCATTCGTTTTGGCTTTGAAACTGTCATATATTGTATTTGCGAAGGTTTATATGTATTCCTATACAGTATTAGTTTTGCCAGAATATCTGTAAAAATGCACACTAAATATGCAAACCAACTCCTGTTCTGAAAACAAGGTTTCAACTAAGATTCCCGTAAGTAGAACGGACAAACAGCTAGTGTATAATTAAATTTACAAGTAAAACAATGCCAATATATAATTTAATTTTATTTACTAGCGCTTCCAGAAACTAGGTTTCCATCTTCAGGCACTAGTACCACACTCAATATTTAGAAATATTGTTGTGCCTTAAGATAAAATAAGAGTATTTTGCATTACCATTATGGTAATGCAAAATACTCTTATTTTATCTTAAGGCACAACCATTTGATAATTAAATATAGTTACACGTATACAACAGATTTTAGAACACAAAAATCAACGACGTACAATTTAGTTATTGATGATATTCTTTAGTTTAATTTAAGCATAGGTTTAGCAAAACACAATAACTAAATTTACCTATATATACAAAAAAAATACCCGCGCCGCAGCAAACCTGCAGACTAAGCGAATTTCCATTTGCCTGATTTGATTTTCAATTAAATCCATTCAAATAACATTAGGTTTAACGAGTACCTAGTTTTGCTGCCTACAGGGTAATAAAGTGTGTTTTTTGGTAAAATATTAATAGCTTGGTATAAAATAAATAGATAAGCCAAGTTTGATCCAAATATATGCATAAACAATCAAACTACAACAATTTACGTATTCTCCATAAGAATAACATGGGAATTTTTAATTTATAGTTTTCCCGCAACCAATAACCATACAAAAACACTTCAATATACTGAATTATTTGTTTTTTTAAGCTCTTCAAAATGGTCTAGAGGAAAATTGGGAAAAAATCGAAAGCAGAACCTGAATTGAAACAGCAACGCTTTTAGAGTATTTTTTAAAATTCTATAATCATTGACATAGTTTTTTAATAAATGATCTTTGATAAATTTTTGGATTAAATAAATTAACCGCATAATTGTGTGAAATATTATATTTAATTGCATTGTATCAGCTGTCTTAAATTGTTAAATATGCAATTTGGCAGTTCTTCTTATTTACATTGAAATGTCAAAGCAAATTTAAACATTGTGAGTATTCTCATTTCAGCCATGGAGACCAATCAATATTTAATTTTAAAATCCTCACCTCAGAACTGTTAAAGCCAAAGGGGCAAAGCCCATTGTCAGTATCGAAATGTGAATAGTCCTATAATGGTCCTTGGTATTGTAGCTATATTTTTGTAAAATTTAAGCCCAGTTGGTTCAGTAGTTTTTGCACCTATTATTTATTTAGTTTATGACACCATTAGATTTTTATATAACAGTACTCGAGCAAAAATCATCCGGCTTTGTTGAAATTTGGTATAAGCAAGAAAACCTACATTTATTCAAACGAGTTTGCGAACCAGCAAGATCGGACCATGGGAACGGGGGTTTATGGTGGGTTTTATGGGGTAAAGATGAGTTTTTCCCATTTTTACCCTAAAAACATCAAATTTTGCAATTTCTCTCTAAACCGTGTTGTAGAGCTTAAAGAAGAAATAATTTAGTACATATTGAAGCTCTGTTGTATGCCTAAACAGAGAAAATTAAAAAAAGGTGTAAGTTTAAAATTTCCATGTTATTCTTATGGAGAAAATTAAAACTGTTGTAGTTTACTTGTTTATGGATATATGTTGATAAAATTTGGCAAATTTATTTATTTCATCCTATGCTATTAAAGTTTGGTCAAAAAACACTTTTTACCTTCCCCATAGCAGCAAACCTAAGCACTCGTTAAATTTGATGTTATTTAAATTGGGAATAAATATATCTTATTTATGGAAATATTTTAATACAAATGTAATCAGACAAGTTGAAATTCGCTTAGTCTGCAGATTTGCTGCGGCGGGGATATTTAATTGTATATATCTGATGGCTAGCCCACCAGTTGCTTGGCCCCATCATAAGGTGTGTTGTAGATGTTGTTACGGCGTCCAATGAGGGTCGAGTACTTGACGTTATCGTCTACCCTCGAATCTGCTGGTACCAACAACAACAACAGCAACAACGCAGCCCACAGTTCCAACATGGCGGCCGACTCACTCTTAATGTCACCTTATGAAAGGCAACATGTCGTCAGGGCAACTGAAACAAATCATTTACTTTTGTTTGTAAAAGTACCACACTGGTGAACTGTAAAGTAAGGTAAAACAAAACAACAATGTGTGTAAAAGCGCGACTAACGAAGTCACACGGCTTTTCACTCAAGTTGTTTTACAGAATACGGGTCTAAGACTACTAAAGCCGTTATCTTCAGCTGAACAATTTCTCCTTAACATGAGATTCATGCTGGGTTTACTTACTTATTTCGCCAACCATCTTTCAGCCTATTATTGAGGGCCTAGGTTTATGAAAATTAAAGTAACTTCTCCATAATCCTAGTAAAACAGTCTTCCATAATTTAGCAGTAATAATACAAATAGTAGGATCACTATAGCAGTCGCACATACCCACGAATCTTCTTCTGCCTACTTATCTACCGAGGGACCGAGCCTTGCTCGGTTGTAGTTAATTGGGTTTGGTAATTAAAATAAAACAATATTGTAAAAATTTACGAAAAACATTTTTATTACAAACCATAGACAGACATTTGATAGCTGATATAATAACAACTCTAATGTAAAAGCATGCAATTAAACAAAAATAAGATACACTTTTATGATCCTGCTTAAGTTAAGGTGCTACCCGCACATAATTTTTCTCCCCTCTAGTCATTGAAACAAACCATGAAACTCGTCGTTCGACTTTACTCTCACTAAAGACAGCAGATAAAAAATGTGATACAAACAAATCATATTAGTTCCAAAATTACTTGTGACAACGATTTTTTGCTTTTTCGACACTACTACTAAAGAAATTGAGATTGTCCGATTTGTTCTAATTGGAATTTAGCATAAGGTAATAGTTTTGTGCCAATAGGAGGTATCTTCGTCGAGCCATCAATCGGAGTAAACGCAGTTGCTGGGATAAATTAAGGGACGATGTTGATTCCAACCCGTGGGGCCTGGGTTACAAACTTGGAACCAAGAAACTTGGAACCCGCTCTCCACCTTCCGTCATGGACAGGGTCACTATGGAGAGGATAGTCGAGTCCATTTTCCCGGCTCACGCGTTGCGCCCACTGCGGGATTATGGAAGGGTGGACGACGTCCCACTTTTCAGCCCTGAAGAGCTGGTGGCGGCCGTCATATCCCTAAAGAACAACAAGGCTCCTGGTCCCGATGGGGTGCCCGGTGAAGTCCTCAAGAAGGTTTTGACTACCAACCCCTTGATCCTTTTGAGCATGTATAACGCCTGCCTGGTTGAAGGGGTTTTCCCCTTGTGCTGGAAGACAGCTAGGCTTATGCTTGTTGGGAAGGGCAAGGGAGACCCAGATCTGCCATCCTCTTACAGACCTCTGTGTATGTTGGATACGTCTGGCAAAGTCCTCTAGAAATTGATCCGTTCCCGGCTAAATTCAGCCGTTGTCGCTGCGGGGGACCTCTCCCCTCGTCAGTATGGATTCAGGATGGGGCGATCAACGATTGATGTGATTGAGGAGGTGAAGCAAGCCGTGATGAGAGCTGAGGATTTTACCCACTACTCTCGCAGGGTTGTGCTGCTCGTAAAGCTCGATGTGCGAAATGCATTTAATTCGGCGAGGTGGTGCAATATGCTGGATGCTCTGGAGAACACCTTCCACGTGCCGGCATACCTCATGCGCATCATAGAGGATTATCTCCGGTTTCGCCTCCTAACGTATGACACTGCGGAGGGCCCGCGGACGATGAGTGTCACTTCTGGTGCTGCCCAAGGTTCCATACTCGGCCCAGACCTCTGGAACGTCGCTTATGACAGCCTTCTGAGGTCTGAAATGCCTGAGGAAACAGTCTTGGTTGGGTACGCAGACGACGTTGCAGCTTTGATAGCTGCACGTAGCGTTGAGCTGGCTCAGCTAAAGCTAAACCGAGTTATGCGTACCATAAACGCATGGATGGCAGACCACGGTCTCTCGCTTGCTCTGAGCAAAACCGAGATCGTGATTTTGACAAAAAAACGGATTGACACCATCGTGCCGTTGAGGGTGGGAGCCGTCGAGGTTCAAACTGTTCGTTCTGCCAAGTATCTTGGGGTCATGGTAGACAGCAAGCTTAGCTGGCGGGATCAGATCTTCCGTACAGCGGACAAGGCCGCTAGGGTGGTTTCTTCTCTTAGCCGGTTGATGGCCAATGTCGGAGGGCCTCGGTCCAGTCGTAGAAGGCTGTTAATGTCTTCGGTCCAGTCCGTACTCTTGTACGGTGCGGAGGTGTGGACAGACGCACTAAATAAGGAGGCATACAGGATGCGGCTCGCCCGAGTGCAGCGTCAGGCAGCACTGAGGGTAGCATCTGCCTACCGAACAGTGTCCGAGCCCGCCGTCCTGGTGATTGCTGGAGTCATCCCCGTCAAACTTTTGGCGGCGGAGAGAAAGGCAATTTACCGGCGCCGTGGGGAGGACGAGGCACGAACAGAGGAACGCACCCGCACCTACCAGCTGTGGCAGGAGGGCTGGGAACAGGAGACACGGGGACTCTGGACCAGGCGACTGATACAGCAAGTCCAACCTTGGGTTGATCGGCGGTACGGAGAGGTGGACTTCTACCTCACCCAATTTCTGACGGGACACGGCTTTTTCCGGTCGTACCTGTTCAGGATGGGCAAAGCCGTGTCCCCCGACTGCATATACTGCCCAGGCATTCTCGATGACGTGGAACATACATTTTTCCACTGCCAGCGCTGGGAAAGGCCCCGCCTGGAGGCTCAACAATTAATAGGACTGCTGTCGGTGGACACGGTCATACCGATTATGACGGAGGGTGAGGACAATTGGACCTGTGTGTCACATTATATCCAGGGTATTCTCCGCGCCAAGAAGATCGACCTTGACCGGGATGCGGTTGTAGGTCATTAAGAATCGAAATGCCAGAAACGGTGCGAGCCCTGAGGGCTTAGGTCACATGTTGGCCTGACTTGAAGTAATGTGACAAACAATTCCAGGTCTGTGTCCAACAGAGTAGAGGGGGTTTTTTAGTGAGTAGTCTGACAATTTTCAGGAGTCTCACACTACAGGCTGGCTACCTGTGTGCGTAAAAGCATTTTCCCTCCTCTCCCTAAAAAAAAAAAAAAAAAAAAAAAAATAGTTTTGTGCCAATTAAAACCCCCAGATGTAATTAGTTTCCTTGGAATACCTCAGTACTTTGGCTAGGGCCACACTTGGCGACTTTGTCGCGGCGACAAAGTCGCTGCGCCAATGAATGAAAGTGCGTAGCATTAAATTAAATGGAGGCGGCCACACTAAGCGACTCGCGACCAGTGGCAACCGGCGACAGAAAAACAAACGCGACCGGGAGCGTTTTTCGGTCTCGGTGACAAATACGCTCCCCATGTTATCTTATGGCACCGGCCATACTAGGCGATTACGTGCCGGAAGCGACCGTGCCAGAAGCGACCCAGCAAATATCGTGCCAGAAGCGACCCTGGTAGTAGTGTGAGTGCCACTAGCGACCCATTGTTTGATAATGGATTTTACAATGTTTTGTTCAAATCGGTGTTAATGGCTTATAAACAAATCCTATTCTTGTTATAGTAATATGTACCCCCTGGAAGAGCCCAATATTCACCTAAAGAGCTATTTTAGCATCTCTAGTTTCCAGCTGCTAGCATAGGCTCAAGTTATGTGTGGTAACTTAATCAAACAGTTTTTCTTGAATTTTTATAATTTTATAAGAGGCAATCAATTACCTTACCTTTTCTTTATTTTTCAATTTATTATCTAAATATGTAAATATGAGATGGTGGATGTGTGTTTGTTTGTATACTACTTAATCGCACGGGAACCATTCAAAAGATCTAAATAAAACTTCACATGGAGGTAGTTTATCAAATATACCCTCGCCGCAGCAAACCTGCTGTGACTAAACAAATTTCCATTTGTCTGAATTGATTTTCAATTAAATCTATTTCAATAACATTAGTTTTAATGAGTATCTAGGTTTGCTGCTATAAGGAAACTAATAAAGTGTGTTTTTTTTAGTAAAATATAAAATAGCTTAGTATAAAATAAATAAACATGCCAAGTTTGATCAAAATATATGCATAAACAAGCAAATTACAACATTTTACAATATTCTCCACAAGAATAACATAGAAGTTTTAAATTTACATTTTTTTAAATTTTCTCCGTTACCAATAACCGTACAAAGACACTTTGATATACCAAATCATTTTTCTTTTTTTTAGCTATTTAAACAGATTTAGAGAGAAATTGGGTAATTTTGTGTTTTGAGGGTCAAAAATGAGAAAAACCACTTTTTACCGCATAAAACCAAACTCCCATGGTCCCATCATGCTGGTTCGCGAACTCATTCCAGTTTATCCCGCCTTACACGTTTAAACCAAAATTCATCAAAATTGGACAAACATTACTCAAGTTATCGCGTTTGCGGACATATATAAAACGGATATATTAAAATTTGAACGAATTGTGTTTTTTATCCTCTGGGGACATCAAATTGAAAAAGTAAATCAGTCCCGGGCCTAGGTCTTACCGTGCCACCTACGTTAATAGCTACTTCCCTATAGGAATATTCGCTAAAAATATAAAAAAATGTTTATTTCAGTATGTAAAATACTATGTTACAATAGGTAGGTACTTTGTCAGTACAAATTTTATAGTTATGCCTTAGTTATGTAATAATATACTGTCATAGTCATTAAATATGAAATCGCTCTCACATAGGCTACTGCCCGTGCGTGAGAAATTTACTTTATCAATAAATAAACATTATGAATATAAAAAAAAATAGATATTTATAAAACATGAGATGAAAGTTAATTGGTAATAATTTGGTTGAAAGAAAAAATAAAGACTAACTAAAATAAAAAATAAAGGTATACAAAATAACTGGAAGACAGTTTTATTATTTGGATAGTTAGTGCAACTTGGACTAATAAAATCCAGACAAAATTAAATACCCCCGCCGCAGCAAAACTGCCGACTAAGCGAATTTCCATTCGTCTGAATTAAAATTTTAATTAAATCTATTTTAAAAACATTAGGATTAATG